ACAAAAATATATGCACTTAGAAGAAGACAATTGGTCGTTAAGGTTCTTGAACTGGCAGCAATGGTCCCAAGTTTGTAACATGAGCCAATTGCCATGGAACCTGTCCTTCTTCACTGTTGAAATAGGAACAATATGTATTTCGTACATACGTAGACTCGTAAGAGCATCTGTTTCTGGCCATTCGTGGAAGCTGGTTCAAGCCACCGCTTCCCCATCAACAATTGCCAGTCACCTTTAACAATGTCACCTGATGTGTTGTTAGAATCCACAAATCCTTGTGGAGTGTAGAATGAATTATCTGTCATAACCAGATAATTATGTAGGCATAGAGTTGCTTTAACAATGTTAATTATTCCCTTTAATCCACCCCTTAAAGGCTGTCTGTATACCCTCCATCTGGCAGCTAAAATGCCAAAGGCATTTTCAATGGTGCGACGACATCTGGATAGTCTGTAGTTAAACACTCGCTGTTCTATTGTTAAGGAGCTGCCTGGATATGGTTTGATTAACCAAGGTTTCAGAGGGAATATATTATCACCCACTATTACATAAGGAAGAGTGAATGTTCCTCTTAAAGTAGGACTTGGTATAGCCATTCGTCCATGGGTAAATGCCTGCCCAAATTGAGATTCTTCAAATATAGCAGCATCGTTATCTCTACCATATCCACCAACATCGACCATTGTAAATGTATACTTAGCATCACACATTGCCATAATGACAATGCTAAAGAAGTTTTTGTAATTGAAAAAGGCAGACCCACTTCTTTTGGGACATTCAATAGCCACATGTTTTCCGTCTAGAGCACCAACACAGTTTGGGAAATTCCATTCATTTTCAAAAACTTTTGCTATCCTCAAAAAATCATTTTCTGATGTGGGATATTTCAAATAAATATTGCTCAATGCAACCCAAATAGCATGTGTTGTTTCTATAATTGCATTGCTCACAGTAGTTTTACCAAGTCTAAATGCAAATGATTGACTTTGTTGTGAATCTCCACTGGCCAAAAATCTCAATGTTAGGATAAGTCTCTCTTGAGGAGAAATAGTTGTTCTGCTATTGCATGGTTTTTTTGTGATAAGAGGTGCCACTATTGAGAGCAAGTGTTCAAATCGCTCAGGTGACATCCTCAAATATCTTAAAAGATAAAAATATATATATCAGGGTTTCCAGCACGCAAATTTGGTCCTGCAATGCAAATTTTTTTTGTGCAGACTTTTTAAGCAATGAAAACTTACAATGCTCAGAAATTCACGTTACAGGACCGTTGTGGGGATGGCTATGTAACTGAATGCCATTATATTTCCCTTCAAATTTAATTAAGCAAAATTTTCAGTTTATGAAAATTAACTTGGTTTCACCTGTAAAACTATTAAGTTGCGTACCTGAAATAAAATTTTCTGTCTCCTAATTTTAGCTCTTGAACTAGATTAAAATAGTTACTATAGCGCCGTCGTTTAGTCTCAGTAAAAATACTGCGAACCCAGAATCTGTGCTTTCGTTTTCTTGCTTTTGTATATAATCTCCACAGGCCGAGTAAGCTCAGAAAGCAGCCAAAGTGAAATAATACAAGCACCTCTTCAACAATCTTTGACTCCATTTTGAATTTGTCACACACGAGTGGACGCGACTCAACACGCGACTGCGATTTAATGGAAACGTGTCAATAGCAAAGTTGTGACGACATTCGCACTCCGATCCTTGCAACCATTACGACTCTTACGATTTAATGGAAACCAGGCTTAAGTCTCCAAATCAATCAAATAAAAAGGCTTTTCTTTTGGAATTATTTTACTTAATTGCTATAACCAAAATTCAAGCCCTAAAATTACCGTAAAATTTAACAACACTTTCTTTATCGCATCTAACGGCCCCTACATAGTTCCTTCGGTCACAAACTTGGCAGCTTTGACAGCTTTGCTAAGGCGTGTTCAAAATTCTCGACTTTTTACTGACGTTTAACTCCAAAAAGCACAAGGAAAAGTAACACAGACATAGGGAAATACAAACCTTGAAGAGATTTATCGCTATCCATCTTTTAACAGCACAAAAAAGTAAGTAAACGGAGGTGCGTTTGAGACGTAAGTCACCCACGTGCAGGAAACTTCTTGACGCGTTGTGGAATGCCCGTATGTGCCTCGTTGTGATGTAAGCAGACACAAGAAGCCCATTTTGTTATCATTATAATCGAAGATTTAATTCGGATTCATAAAGATGCAAAGAGGGGAAAATATTCGTCCATCTAGTGTTTGTTCTTGATATTATTGGTATTTTTGTGCTTGTTGGGCTTCCTGGTCAGCGACTGCTAACCATACAGCGGGGGATTTTAATGGCAGACAAAGAAGCAACTCTTCATCTTTGTCGATGCAAGGAAAGAAGTACAGTGCACGTACATTGCTCATGTGAAATTTGTGAAGGTAAAGCTGTGTCAGTTTCCACTGCTTGGAGGCATGGCAATAATTCGAGAAATGTGTCTTCTGTGACATCTGGAAACCAGGAAACGTCTCCTGATGATTCGAATACTCTTATTTTTGATTCATCTAATTTTCAAGAAATTACAATAGATGATACAACCAAAGATGATGACTTGTCATGTTATACTTCTGACGATTCAGAGTCCATGGACTTTTCATCAGGGCATGATGTCGAGGATTTCAGTGACAATGATATATTTAGCTACATGTATGATAGTGATGATTTTGATTTCCATAGTACTGACCTTAACTCAAGTACTAGTACTACTGCGGATCCCCAAATGTCAACTTCTAGAGATTTCTCGCAATTTGTCGAAGAAGCAATTTTAAAGTTGGTAGATATTAAAGCGCAAAATGGTTTTTACATTATCGTCGATTTCAGTTAACTTTTCAAATGGCGGTTGCCAAGTTACTTTCCAATGTTGCCAACTACATTTCCAAATATGGAATATTCGTTATGAACTTGTCAACTTGAATTGTGAAGTTGTGTAACTTGAGTACTGAAGTTGTGAACTTGAGTACTGAAGTTGTGAACTAAAGTTGCGAAGTACAGGCAAACGCGAAAGGTCTGTGTTGTAGGCAAGTAAAAGCTAAATAAATTGTTCACTGATAATGGCAGATGAATTGGAGGAGTTTCTTAATAGTTTTAAGGATAAAATTGGGAAACAAAGTCATGAAGTAATAGAAAAAGCTTTGAAAGAAAATGAATTTTCTTCACGACTGTCGCTGAAATTGTTAAGTAATGAAAATCTTGATCATCTTTTAAAGAATACGAACTTGCCGCTTGGGGCAAGGAAAGTTTTAGAATTTCAACTCGATTTGCTGCGGGAGCAGTCACCGTTATTAAAATTTTCAAAATCTCAAGCAAAAAGCTGTCTTGACGTGGATGAAAATCCATCTGCTTCGTACTAGGTAGGTCGTAAAGTGACATATTTCTTAAAACTGAATACTGTCGTGCGTCAATGTTTTTGTGGTTACAATAAAAATAAATGTATAAATTTATAATGTTGCGTTTACCTATCTGAAATAGGATACAAGTATACCCGCTAAACGCTCATTGGAAAATCGGCGAAGGACAATCGAAGACTCAATTCATCACAACAAACAAGATTTGGAAGAGATGAACGTGCAATTAGAATCAATGAATTTAAATGTTCCTGAATTACCAATGATTGGTAATTACAAAGTCATCTGCAGCAACTGCCACCACCGAGGTCACAGAAACACACAAACTAAACCGTGTATTCTTGAAAAATGTTCCGCGTTTACTTATTGTGGACTTAAAGACAAACATCCCGAATATTCTGCGGAAATGAATCGATTGAAGTTTAAGATAAAACAAAAACACGAGACTATTAAGCAACTCCAAGAAGAATTAAATGGTGTTAATAATTTTCAAAGCCAGAGTGAGCACCAATTTATAAAAGCATTAACCCCCAGGTTGATGAAAATTAATGCTGAATATAAAATGAACAGACCAAAACTTCTTCGCGATATCAGAATTTTGCGCCAGTTCTTCAACAATAAAATTCCCGCAGAAACTACAAACGACGCTGAACAACTCGGAATAACTCTGGCGAAATGCAAGAAAACTTTGCAAGACGAGATTGGTGATGTAGGTGTTGTAGGAATTAAAGAATATGAGCAAATGCAAGCTGGTGGCCATGCAGTAAATTTCAACGTTAACATGAACCTAACGCCGACGAAAAACAAAGACAGTAAAATCACACAAAAACATAGTACGAATACCAACTACACTGCACAAGACAAGATCTTCAAACGAAAGCATTCTTCAAGGAGAAAGCATACGAAAAAAAGTAAACGACAGCAAAAACCACGTTACACTGTCGCTAGCTCAACAAGTGATTCTGAACTGAGTTCATCTTCATCAAGCAGCAGAGCTTCAAGTAGCGAACGTTGTCGCGCTAAAAACCTCGTCGCGCAAGAAAACTCTACAATAATTTCAGCGACTTCAATTTCACTCATGAAAAAAGGTTTTCTCAAGGTATGACAGGCTGTTTACAGCCTCAAATTGGCGTTGCATATAATCCCCATCGACAGTCTGTTTACGAGAGTTATGAAATGCCGGAGATGGGAACGTATCCCATAGCTATGCAAATATCACCAGCCTACAATCGTCATGAAACACAGTCGTTTTCCCCACAATGTGTGGTTACGTTAGCAAACAATGGTTTATATGCACCAAATCAGGGACAAGCTTATTCAACAAACGCCTCCACTACTCTGCCTGACAATGACAACAATAATACTAGTGAGCGTGGTGCCGGTCTTCAATTACTTTCTTCTGCAGCAGATTTTATGAACAAAAATTATTCATGAGTTTAGAGCACTGACATTGCATTTGCATTGCAAAACTTGTTCAAAGTTATTCATCGTAGGTGAAACGTTTTTTGTTTGTTTGAAGTTTTGTTATGTACATATTAGCACAACAGCGAATAAAAATAGTTATACAAACAAAAAATAAAAATATTGGCACAAGGTAATAAAATGTTCATAAATAGTTTATGTATATCCACAAAACTTAAAAAACTGTCTTGAGAGACCCTCGTCTATCATTTCTATAGCATCGGAAATGCACAGTTCAGTGTATTTCTCGGTGTATTTTGTGTATCGACGCAGTATTGTTTTCATATGATGAAAACACTGTTCACATGTGTTGTAACACGGATGATAAGGTGGTTGATAAATTAATTCCACATTTCTGTCTTGTAGCATACCTCGTAATTGTGGTTCTACATTATTACCATGATGAAAGCCGCAGTTATCCATCACAATAACATCATCATCTTTAATGACAGGGTTTCCAAGAATGTCGTCTATCTCAAAAGCTTCATCGAAGAAATTTAGCAATTCTAATCCGTTTGACGGCCCTCTAAGAATGTTATAATGCGATACGCCGTTTACATTATGTAATAAATTTACAGTAAATGTGGCACTAGAAGCGTATCGTTGGATTTCAAATGCAGGAGTACCCTGAATACTGTGCCCTCGACGTCTGTTGCCACTCGTAACAACTACAGACGACTCATCAAAGAAATGCATGCGGTTGCAATCAATCGATGAAATATTTGCTACGTAAGCTTCTAACTTCTCCATTACGTCTGACTCTCGAGGAATTTGACTTATTATCTTGTAAGAGTAACCAAGATCTTTATTCAAAATTCTACTAATGGATGAGCTGCTAGGTATGTTTGCTGGAAGGCAAACTTTGTTATTTGCTAGGTGTTGCTGAATCTCTTTTGCGTAAATAGATGGTTTATTAATTTTTAGATATTCAGTGTATGCAATAACGTCATCTGTACGCGCGGTTCGAACATCACGTTCGCTCTGGCGAGGTGCAATAGAACCAGTGTCTACCCATAGATCTATTATATTTGATATAGTCTTATACGGTAGGTTCAGTTGTTTCGAAATGTTTGTCAAACGCTCGTTATTTAACCACCTTTCAAGTATATCATTTCTTACTTCTATTGGTAAAGCTTTTCCTTGCTTACTGAACGGATTCATTGCCAAATGTCTACAGGGTACAAAGACCTTTCGCGTTTGCCTGTACTTCGCAACTTTAGTTCACAACTTCAGTACTCAAGTTCACAACTTCAGTACTCAAGTTCCCAACTTCAGTACTCAAGTTACACAACTTCACAATTCAAGTTGACAAGTTCATAACGAATATTCCATATTTGGAAATGTAGTTGGCAACATTGGAAAGTAACTTGGCAACCGCCATTTGAAAAGTTAACTGAAATCGACGATAAAGCATTTGAACAACTCCTTAATTGGGGTAAGGGACTAAATGAAATGATGGATAATCTTTGGCCAACAAAATGGGAACATGTAACAAGACTCCTTCAACAACTTGGTTATAAAGAAGCAAAATGTTATTGGATTTGCCTGGACCCATCACATAAATGTAACTATTCCTTGGCTAACTCCAAAAGTGAGATTTGCAAGTACTGTGGAAAACAACCTAATATAACATTTTACTCTCTAAGTGTTATAGATAAGGTTAAACGGTGGTGTAGATCACCATCTATGTGCAAAAAAATGACTGCTCATTGGCAGGAAAAAGATCATTGGTTTGCCAATGAAAATACCTCCAGCACGGATTGGGGATGGATCCAAAAAAAAAGAAATCTGTGGATTCTCAGGTTAGCAGTCCGATAGATACGTGAGTCGGAATCGTATAGATTATAAGTAAATAATTTTTATTCGATCTAGTAAATAATGATATAGTATAAATAACATATGTGCTCTGTTTAACAGTATACCAAACGTAAATACATAAACTCACTTCTTTGCCGGGTCCTCACGATCTTCATTAATTTCAATTCAGGTTGGCAGATATAATCAAAGCAATACAATGATTATGCTTTTGCTCAGGTTAGCATGTGGTAACTGTCAGCTGCACTATAGACTAAAATCCTTTGTGTCCCAATGAATATGTAGTATAGTACATGGGGGTAGGGGATCAAAAAAAGTTTACTTTTTTTTATCCCATACGCCCCATGTACTATACTACATATAACCTTGGGTAAAAACTATCTTTATAACAACGTAAAATAAGACCATGGTTCAAAGACGTCCCTCTGGTAAAAGGTCATGTAAAAAAGCTGTGTAAAAAATAGTCATTATTTCAAAGGGGGTAAAAATCTCGAGGTTACAATTAATCGTTTAAAAACGGTCTTTACAAACAAATGTTAAGAAAGCATCGGTTCGGAGGGGGATCGGCAGCGCAAATTTTAGCGTAGCTAAAATTGAGCAGGGGAATGGATCCCCCGAGAATTCTGGAACCCAGGTGGGGAAAATTTTTCACGAAGTGAAAATTCGGGTTCCAGATTCGATGAATATTCGAAGAATATTCGAGAATAACAGAGGCTTAAAAAATGCTCTTCAAAAAACCGTCTTTAATAATCAAGTGTTAAGAAAGCATTGGTTTTGAGGGGGCTCGGCAGCGCAGATCACGAAGTGATCGAGCAGGGGATGGAGCCCCCGATAATTCTAGGCGACGGTGGGAAAATTTTTCACGAAGTGAAAATTGGGTTCCTCCCATTGATTCAAGAATATTCGAAGAATATTCGAGAATAACAGAGGCTTAAAAATGCTCTTCAAAATCAAGTGTTAACAAGGCCCTGCCAAATGTTGATTTAAGCTAAATGCGACAATGGGTAAAATATAGCTGGTTTTGTAGCGGCGTGTCTTAGTGCATGTTTTTAACAATGGTTGTTTAATGTAGATAGCACATTTCATCAGCGCATGTATAATAATACAATGTTTTACAAAACTATGGAATCTATATGTTTTTTTAATTTGTCTGTCAAGCATGTGTCACATGTACATGTTTAACAATGTTTTATATAATTTTTGTTAAAAGTGTTTTTACTAATTGTTTCAGGATTTTGAATTGATAAGATAATGACCATAAGCATAACTTTTACATCCATTAGCTAATATATACCGTTTATCATCAAAACAGCTGAGTGATACTTTATTAATTTCATAACTATTAAGTTGATGGTTCACACTTCTGATAGTTTTCATTGTATGATGTATTTGTTTCTTTTCAAATAGTGTTTGTTTATAGTCTTCATGTTTTATTTCGTTTTTAATAATATTTTCTTAATTCCTTTAGCTTTTTATCTCCTTTATTATTATCTTTAATATAACTATACATCTTGCTTCTTAAACCAATGAATTCTTTAACTAATATTCCAGCTTCATCTTTCATTTTACCAATAACCTTTTTATTAGTCTTATCATGATATTGTGAATTTTCTGGGTAATCACTAAAATCAAATTTATCTTTATCAGCCCAAAAATCTTTATAAGCATCTTCAGTTTCTATTTCATAACAGAGAATCGTATCAGTGAATAATAATTTAGCTTTCACAATACCGCTTTTTGATATAATTGTAATGAAAATCATACATCAACGTTTTACTCAAATCTAATATACACATACCCACATATGCAGGTCTGTTAAGGGTTAGTGTTTCTTTGATCTTATGCACAGCCACAAGGTTCTCATTGAATATTTTACTACTTACATAAGTAGGTTTTGAAGTCAACTTTAATAATTTATTTTTATTAGTTACTAGTCTAACATCTACTCTTTTTAAGTTTTCCATAGTTTTACCAAATACCGAATTATTCATTAATTTGAAGAAGTCTTTTCAAAAGAATTTTTGCATTAGTTCTTTTTGAGTATTAAAGTCTATATTTTTTCAACCATGGAGATTGATTAAATTCAAGTACTCTATGTACTTTTTAATTTTAACCGAGATCTAAGTATAATTGAAGATTTCTATAATGTAGCACATACTTCTCTTTATTTTGTAATGTAGGTATTAATTTTGAAACTAAACCTGTTGATATATTGTAATTAGAAGCAATTGTCTTACAATATTTTGATAACATATCACTAGTGACCTTAATTTTTTCAGGTGCTAATGGATAATCGTTATGTAAATTATGTAGTTCTTTATTGTATTCTAAATCAACTTCTAAAATTAGACCTTTTTTATTATCTTCTTTATATGTGGCTAAATTTATGTTGTTAATCTGTTTATCAGTTAACCATTTGAAACCACCAGTAGGTAGGTATTGTGACATAGCCCATCCATATAAATTGTTTGCGTCAAGATACATTATATATTTTGAGGGTTTATTCTTATCAAATGTTTCCATATACTTGTTATTAGCTTTACCATATCGATTAGAAATATAAGAAACACCTCCTCTCATACCCTTTTCAATAAATTGAAACATATCAATATCTGTCATTAATTCTAATTTAATATCTGTCATTTTAAGCATAGCATCCCAAGACAACCCGGGTGATGTAAAATAATGGCATGGGTCTAAGTTATAGTATTCAAGACATGTTTTTCGAAATTTTCGAATACATCAGCTAATAATAAAACGTCTGATTTCAGATACAGGTCGTGATAATCACCCATGTTTTTGAGATTGAATGTATTCCACACTTTTTGTGCATGGTTATAAGAATCATCTGAGATATTTTCATTAGTAAGAATACTATAAAAGTCTTTTTTTGAAGGCAACCCCTCATCAAACTTTTTAAAGCTATCCATATAATCATATGGGTATATACCTTTTAGTCATTAAATTAAGTTTTCACCTTTAAACTGCTTAGAGGTGTATTTAAACGATTCTTTAGGTAGGTTACTAACAAGCTTTTCTAAACTAGAGCTCATAAATTGAAAACTATCAAGAAATGTTAAATGGTTACCTAACATGAAAGCCATATATTTTTCCATGTTATTAGGTATAGCATTTATATTCATATGCGTTTCCTCACCTTTTTTGTTTTTGTATGTATGCTTATTAACAATAGCTCCGATCTCTTGCATTATGAAGTGACTGTCATCCCACGTAGATTGTGAAATATTACTGGGATCTTTAATTTATCAGAGTCTATTCTAAGTTTTAAATTACAATCTTGATGTGCCGAGCCTCTGTATTTGCCAGTGATATGACAATGGTCTCGAACTCGAATATCTTTGTTAGTATATTTTTGTTACAGATATGACATTCATCAGCTTTTTAAATTCTTTTCATCATCAGAGGTCATTTTAATGGTTTATTAAAGTGGGTTTTCATAATATTTTACAATATTTAACTTCTTTTAACATAGCTTCCATAAATTTGTAAACAGCCTTTTCACCTCTATATAGTTGAATTTGTTTAGTAAATTGATCATCATAACAACAAACAACTTTATAACCATAACCACAGTCAGTGTGCTTCTGGTAAGCTTCAGTATATGAGTTACCATTATCTTGTTGACAACCAGATATCTTTTCTGTAATAGCTTCAAAATCAGCGTATATAACAAACGGAACAGCTTGTTGTTTATGATAGTTGCTGAATTTAAGTGTGTTGTTATTTTTATCAGGCATTCTTATTGATTGTATACCATTTATTAATATACAGTTTTCTATATGGTTATTTAATATTTTTTCAGAACTAAAACATTGTAAGACAGCGCATACAAAAATGTTTTCTTTCTTTATGTTTTGTATGATTATACATAAATGCATTAAAATTTTTTATTAGAATATAATGTTTGTTTTCAT